GAGTGGGGGAACGTGGGGCGACGGGGGGGGGGAGTGGTGCGTGGGGGCTAGGGTTTCAGGGGTGAGGCCATATAGGCCAGGGGGGTTGTGGGATGGGCCGGCCGGGTAGCGGCCTGGTGGGCCGAAGCCCAGCGGGGGGGGCGCTTTTACTCTCTTTTGTTTTTGGTTTTGAATTTCTGTTTTTGTAGTTTCTTTTTCTTTTATTTCTGTTTTATCTTTGTTTCTTATTGTTTTAGTTTTTTGTGAAATATATACTTGGCATCTAATTTGGTATTTCAATTTAGTCCACTATCACAAAAACTCTAGTCCCCAAATAATTTAGTTTGATATTTTATTTAATTAGTGAAGGCATTTAAATAATTAGTTTTGCTACTATTTAAATCATTATGGTGTAGTTAAGCATTTCATAAAAGTTTGGTTTCACCACCCCATTTACCTATGATTTATTCGACACATTTAGAACATTTTAGTTTTATTTTTGGAAAACTTTTGTTGTTTGTCTTAATTTCAAATTTGAATTTAAATCGTTTTGAACTAACACGAGTTTACCAACAGTAACCGAGGTGACGTGGCATCATTAGCGCAGGGTTACTGTAGCTTGATTACCCGGGCGTCACAGTTTGTCCGTAGCACCCCATGTCCCACATCATCATTCCTTTCTTACTTAGTGTCATACAAGTGATGCAATCATGATTTGCTGGCCTTTTAACATATCCCTGATGGAGTGAAGTGGAAGGGACAGACGGATTGGAAATACAATGAGGTAATATTTCTGTACAAGATAATTGCTTGAGTTTTTTTCCTCTTCTCTAATCAAGTCGATTGCTGTGTTAGAAGGTATGTAGATGGTTACAGGTGCAGCTACATCTGAAGATTTCATTCTTAAACGTCAAATAAAGCAACCAAATATTTTATTTGTTCCCTAATGATCATATTTGGTGTTATTTCTTTAGGATGGTGCATGGAGAACATGCTCTGTTGCCATCTTCATCCGCGAGTTGGCTCCCAAATCTAAAAGGCGCGTCTGACGAAACAGGAGTGTAACAGGGCACGGCTGCTGAACCAGGACAACCACATATGAGTTTTTGATTTCTTATTTGTTCGTCAGTGAGTCTACAGCATAGGATTACATCATACATCATTCTTCCCATCATTTATGTTCTGCAAATGAGATATGCAATTTTTTCTTGGTATCTTCGATAATCACAGTCTGGTTCTTGAAGTGCGAAAATTAAACTGATTTAAGTTATTTTCTTTTTCAGGACGTGGTCACAAATAATGAGTTTGAGACAAACCTTGTGTCATGTGTTATCGCACTCAGATATTGGAGCCTTGGAGAATGTAAAAGAAATGTTAAACGGTTAGATGTGGCCCCTCTAAACTTACTTGAATTGCTCAGCAAAGGTCCGCGATTAATGGTACCCATGTACATTCAGTAGGCCGAGTTGCCGAGTTGGTCTTGCTATATTGTATTCAGGCATAGTCTTGAAATTTCATCAAAAATAAGTTCAAGCATGATATTTAATATCAATTCTGGAAGAATGACCTGACACACCTGAACATAAGAAAACATAAGGTGGCTAAAAAATATATTGAACCAAATGTGCCTGACTGAATTTTATTTGGAAAAAGTACTGAATTTTATTTGGGAGTACAATAAGCAGTTATGTATAATCTTCTGTCTTGCAAACTGGAAATGAAAACTAATTATCATTTTTTGCTTTTTGACTTGCAATGCAGAATGTGAGAGCTTATACCCGCATAAAACAAGTAAGTGTTACAAAGTCTTTCAATGATGGTCTTGTATACCCTCATAATTACTGTCGTTGTAGTCGTCATGTATAAATAGCAAGATTCTTTTTCAGTTTTTTCTTGGGCGTCGATGAGCACAGGAGCTCGGAGGAGGCCACCATGGAGCTGACGTGACCTCGGCAAACAAAACATGTAAAGAATGAGAACGACGAGGCGAGCCAATACTACAGAGGAGCTGGACCATAGGGAGGTCTTAATTTTAAGTAGCAATCTTGGTTGCTAGCATATGTAAGACTTGAAGTATCTATCCACCTTTAAAATAGTAGTGTCTAAATACTAAATAATGATTATAGTGATTTATGACAATCAGGTACCGTTTGGTTTAGCATATAAGTGTCTAGATACTAAATATAAGTATCTATCCACACTTTGGTTTAGCAATCAGGTACCGTTTGTTGCAAAGGAACTATATTTATGAGGGACTTCCTGATGATTTAGTGATTTATGATTCCTAAAGTATATAGGAATATTTCAGCTCCATCATAGGAAAAATAATCTGAAATAGAGTTTCGGTTTGACTATCATGGTGTTTACAGTCTATTATTCATGCTTGCTTTGACACTTGTGTGTTAAATCAATGCTTATGTATCTTATTAATGTTGCTCAAAATATCATGTTTGTAAGATCTCCCGTAGCAACGCACGGGCAATTACCTAGTTTATTTATATTTTAATTCGGAGCACCTGATATTCTCCCCAACTGAAGTACTAGCTGGATGATCAGGCCTTTGCCGGTCCTTGAATAGAGACATCCTGAAGAATGCGAGCCATCCGATCTTTCATTCAATCACTAAAAGAGCGAAGCCTATCGGAGCGAACGAACCATTATGCAGCAATTTAGTCCGTCTGACGAAGGATCACCTAGTTTTCTTCTTCCACGTGTCTTTTTTTTGGGTTAATTCTTCCAAATGTCTTAAAGGATGTAACTCTGATAATTTCGCAATAAAGTTGCCTTGAGGTTTTCCCTTCAAAAAAAAAAACTAGGTCTTCAGCTCCGGAGGAACAGTAGTTCGGTTCTTCAGTTAGATTCAGATATAGGGTCTGACACCGCCACCCCCGCCCGAGCTGCCGTCCGCCGCCGCCCGAGTCCTCTCCGATCTACACGGCGTCGTCCGACCCCGCCCACGTCCGCTCCCTTCCACAGCCCCTCGCCTCCAAGCTGTGGGTTCCCTCCCCTCCCCTCCTCTCCGACTGTGGTGTCCTCTCTGCTACCTCGAGAAGATGCACCCCGTCCCCGAATCGGCGAATCCAACTCCCGAAGCTGCTCTTGCCATGGATTCCCCAAGCATCAAGGTCTGCTCCCCCCGCCCTCTCCTCTGTCGGTTGCTATCTTGTTTTCTTCAGTCTGTTTTGCAGAGCAAAATTGAAGATAGAATTGATCCCACTGCAGGAGAAGATTCCGTTGTTGCCAGCAAAGATGAAGACAGAATTAGTGCGCTACCCAGTGAAATTCTTCTCCACATCCTAGAACGCCTTGATGTCCGCACGGCGATTTGGGCCGGCACTGTCGCAACACGGTGGAGGCACCTTCCTCATCAACTATCTCATCTGCTCATCAGTACCTCGGACGTCTGTAAGCCCGGTTACACGACAGATGAGATAATGAAGGCATACACGGACGCGACGAGGAGGTTGCTGTCTCCTCCGGCTTGCAAGTGCACTCGAACCATCAAAACATTGATGCTCAGGTGCTACATTATGGACCCTTACTTGTCCATAATTGGCCATACGGTTCAGGATGTCGTGAAGAACCGCGAACCTGAATACCTCGAGTTCGCAATGTGCCCAGATGTTGCTTCTCCAAGTGATGCCCAATTAGCCTTGTATGGACAGCGGTTTATGTCATTCTTTGGTGCATACCCTGGCGCCTTCGAATCGCTCACTAGACTAATCCTTGAGAACCTCACGTTTCAAGCCTCAGATGTCGCCAATCTTGTTAACACTTGCAGTAAACTTAAGATTCTTTGCTTGAGATTCTACGTAATGCCCCAGGAATCTGTCCTTGAATTAGACGCCCCAAGCTCGGACCTCAGATCAATTGAACTTAGATTCTTTAGATGCTTACACGTTGAGCTAACCTGTCTTCCTAAACTGAGGGTACTGAGGTATGATGCTTGGTCTTGTGAAAACCCCCCAATGTCTTTTGGCTATGTTCCTCAGCTTCATCAACTCGCTTTTGGTTGTCCTGCCCAGTATTGGCAGAAGCCATTCGCACTGAGCCAATGTTTATCTAGTGACACAAACCTGGGGAATCTGGTTTTTAATTTTTACAATCAACGGGTAAGTTTCTACTACAATCCCCTCTACATCTAGTTATTATTCAAAAATAAATAAAAATGTGTTTCTTACTTCATGTTATAATATTCTCCATATTTATGTTCTTTTAACTGCAGATCTGGGTTGAGCCTGAAGGTCCACAACGGCTGACTCCTATATTCAGCAAACTGACACATGCGCACCTTGGCGGTATATCTACTGAATGTGATTTGAATTGGACTATGTTTATACTTGAAGGCGCGCCTTCACTGCAGAATTTCCATGTAAGCCTGTCACCTCGGTTCTTCCAATCCACACTTTGGCCATACATACATGCTTCCACTTTCCAGATATGTAGCATTAAAATATAGGGTACCAGCATGCATGTGTAATATTAACCACTTATTACTATATTCTGCCAAATATAGTACATACAGTGATACAGGGCTCTCTGGGATGTATAGGGATGATGGTGCAATCCTAGAATACATGGCAGAGAAGTTGTTCTTATCAAGGTTGTTTATGTACTTCATAGGAAATGTGCGTAAAGACTATGGATGTTCTATTTTGTCTAACCCTGTTAGATTCCCCCAAAATTCCTACGGAGTTTGTCTTAGTTTACTATGTTATTATAGGAATCCTAGAAATTCATTGCTTTGTTCCAAATGCTATATCGGTATTTCATTTCTTCAGATACCTCCAAGAACTCTGATTCCAGAAAGGTTCTAAAGTTTTTAGTAAGTGCACATTTACATTTATGTCTTAACTCATGCTGCTGCCATTGCGCTTCATTTTAAATGCTGATGCTGCTGAGGATGCCAATTTCTAATCTAATTTAAAAAATTGGTTCATGAAGTTATATCGTCATTCATGTGAATTCAATAAGTCCGAGGACGATGCTGAGAAGACCAACTTGGTGTGGCAAGCATCCAATTTCAAGCACTTGAAATTGAAATTGTTTATGATGAAAGGGTTCGAGGAGGAATACAAGGTGATGAATTATATACGCCTCATCATGGAACGAGCCGTGTGCTTGAAGAGAATTGAGTTGCCTGCTAAAATCCAATGCAATAAGTGCACTACCATATCTCCAAGATTTCCGGTGGATGAAGCCAGCAAGCACCGCATCAGGGAGCAACTCAGACATGGATTGTCCTCATCCGCAGACATAATAATTGGATGATGGTACAGTCAATGAGTAATCCGCGAGGATAATGTTTGGATGATGACGGGCTTAGTCTGGTCGGTTGCGCCTATATATTGGATGATGTGTTAGAATTGCTGCTATACATTGCGCATTAGGCGCAAACAGTTATAACCTCTTCTGTTTTTTTTTATTGATAGCCAGGAAATGGTCAATGTGGTTCTTGATTCGTGTGTACTTTAAACTATATTCTTCAATTTAAGTGAATTATATGCAGTGTGCACTTGCTTTGATTGCCGGAGGCCAATGGCTTATATCATTCAGATGCAAGGCATTTGCAAAATGTGTCTGGTATAATAGCATGTCCGGACTCGATCCATCTCCTTGTCGATGGAGCTCCATTGACAGGCTTGGCCGTTACAGGCATCCCCCACATTTAATGGTGGCATTCTAGCATTTCATCAAAGCCACAGGCCCCCTTCCTGATGGGGAATTTGATTTTTAACCCAGGTTATTTATAGTTTGATATTTTTTTCCCCATCATACATTTGAACTTGGATCTTTTGCCCTTTTGTAATTAATATGTGATTTTTTTTCCTTTCCCTACGAGCATAAATAAATGGTCAAAAGGGATTCACTAGTTTTTTGGGTGGTGCGGGTTGGAAGATCAAAAATGGTTTCCAGAGGAATAGAAGGAGTTTAGAAGGCTCCGTGTTGTTCTGAAAATGTTTGAATCCGCCATTTGACAGAAAAATAGCGCGAGCTGAAAGTCCAAATTCTTCTTTTTTCATTCGGTTTTATTTTATTTTCTTCATCAGATTCCCTCTCCCCCCTGGTTTTCTGTCTTTTCTGTCAACAACAACAACAACAACTAGCAAGCTTGCACGCGCGCCCCTATCCATAGCTAGCTCTTTGGTGATACTCCAATCCTTCAGGTCTCTCTTAACGGACTCCTCCCATGTCAAATACGGTCTACCCCGCCCTCTCTTGACATTCTTCGCACGATTTAGCCGTCCGCTATGCACCGAAGCTTCCGAAGGCCTGCGCTAAATATGCCCAAATCATCTCAGACGATGTTGGACAAGCTTCTCTTCAATTGGTGCTACCCCAACTCTATCTCGTATATCATCATTCTGTACTCAATCCTTCCTCGTGTGGCCACACATCCATCTCAACATACGCATCTCCGCCACACATAACTGTTGAACATGTCGCCCTTTTGTCGGCCAACACTCAGCGTCATACAACATTGCGGGTTGAACCACCGTCCTGTAGAACTTGCCTTTTAGTTTTGTGGCACTCTCTTGTCACGAAGAATGCCAGAAGCTTGGCGCCACTTCATCCATCTAGTTTTGATAAGATGGTTCACATCTTTATCAATACCCCCATCCTCCTGCAGCATTGACCCCAAATACCGAAAAGTGTCCTTCTGGGGTACCACCTGGCCATCAAGGCTAACCTCCTCCTCCTCACACCTAGTAGTACTGAAACCGCACATCATGTACTCAGTTTTAGTTCTCCAAATACATAATTAGTTTTTTAAACTGATGATATTTGTTTATGTCTACTTTTCCCACGCACACTGCACATTTTTTTGTATATTTTTTATATATCATGGAAATATTTTTTCTATATATATTTAAAGTATTTCAGCACATCATTAATATTTTGTTAAAAATATTGAAAACCTGTTTTTTATTTCTACCTTTTTCCATACACTTTGTACATTTTATTTTTACACATTTAATATTCTTTTTAGGAGGCATTTAATATTTTCTAAATGCATGATTAACATTTCTTAATGTTTGTTTATAAATTATTTTTTATAATTGATATATTCAAAATATTTCTAGATACAAGCAAAAGTAAAAAAAATGCAAAAAAAACATGAAAAAATGGAAGAAAAATAAAAGCGTTGAAAGCATATTTCTGCGCTGGGCCGACCCAGTCGAGCGGCTGCCTCCTGACTCGAGACACCTTATTGTCTCACGTCGAGTGAGATAGGGGCCGCGCTCCATGGGCCAATCCAGGGCCACGCTTGATCAGACTTGACCATTTGGGTCGGCACAACCTAGTGGAGGATTAAACATGTCTGGCACGACACCACTTATGATGTGACACGTTTATTATATTGCTCGTGTAGTGCCTGACTTCGTGACTGTGTACCATGCAAAAGCTTTGTCTCGCCCGTAGTAATTCCTATTAGCAATGGGCGGACTAGTATCGGGCCATCCCATTTATAGAATCCTCGTTCGATCGATAATTTCGAACTGGTTTCTTCATATATTTTTTTTCGCTCTCTTTTGTTTTGGGGGTTTTTTTTCGCCGGCTTTTGGTTTTCTTTTTCTTCTTCTTTTAAGGTTCGGGTTTCTTTCTTTTTTCAACGGTTTTTTTGGTATTTCATAATTCTTCTTTATACTCTGGTTTTATTCTGATTCTTTCTTTCTTTTCTTTGTTATTTTCTTTGCTTTTTTTGTTTATTTTGTTGATTCTCATCAGGTTTTGTTTCTTCAATGCATGTCTAGTTTTTTTCATACATGTTTCTACATTTTTTGTATATATTTAAAACAGTATTTATATCCACTTAACATTTTCGAAATACATGTTTAACATTCTTACAAAACATGTTTTGGATATATTTTTCATATACATGTTAAACACATTTTTCGAAAACATGTTGAAACATTTTTCAAATGATTAAAACATCATTTTTAACCAGGCCAACATTTTTGCACATTGTACAAACATTTTTTTAAATGTCATGAACACATTTTTTTTAAACTTATGAGGATTTTTTTGAATGTGACGTACATTTTTTTAATATACAAAACTTTTTTTTTTTTGCAACACGAAGCATTTTTATTGAATTACACTAACATTTTTTACGGGGCGGCCCACGGGCACGTTTGGCCCGCGTGACAGGCTGCTTTTAGGCCTTATAGGCTGTTTTGGCTTGTTGGGCTGTCTTTTGGCCCATATACATTTAAAAACTCGAAAACAAGTAAACGGGCCGTGCCAGCACGCGTGCCCAGCCTCGCAGAGTACTCTTTGGCCCACGACGCAGAGATTGATTCATAGAATTTGCGTTATGTTGCTAAAAAAATAGAATTTCCGTTCTGGACTCTCTCTCTCTCATGTTCGTCTTCTTCCCCAGCCATCCCTGCCGAAATATCGTTTCTCTACCAAAATCACAAATTCGTTGCAAATCCGATTGAAGTCCCACGGAGCAAGAAATGGATCCGAATTCCTCTGCCATATCTCCAGCCATCACTAGCACCATCAGGGCCCTCCCCTACCGAAAAAGAAATACAGATCAGATGAGCCAACGCCCCTGAAATCCATGACGGAGGCGGCTCCTTGGCGTGGTTCGCCTTCCACGACCGCCTCTAGTAAATAACAGGGTTTCACCTTGGGAATCCGTGGCGGAGGCGGATCCTTGTTATGGAAGTTGGGGTTCGGTAAGTAAAGAAGGCCCGCCAACGAACTTTGTTAGATTTCTCCCTGTTAGAGTTGTGTCGAATATTGTGTATAAGATAGATTACATTTGGACTACGAGTAGTATTGTATTTAGATAGGATATGGAGTTGTGTCTTAATAGGACACCTGTATCCTAGACCTCTCATATATAGCGGGGGTAGACACACGATGTAACCTATGCCAACATAATAGCACTGGAACACAGGGGAAGCCGGCGGCTTGTGCCGGTGTCCAAGGCGACCGGATGCGGTATTGTGACGGTGTCACGCGGAGGAGCGCCCGTGGTCAGGCCCCGGGGATATAGCCATATCGGTGAACCTCGTTAACAAATCTCGGTGTCGTGCCTCATGTGATTGCTTGGTCCTCGGATGATCGACGGTATGCCTCGGATCAATTCTAACAAGTGGTATCATGTGCTAGGTTGGACGGAGGTGCATCGTTGATCTAAGGGAGGCGGAAGGTATCGTTGGAGTTCTGCAGGGAGTGATCGTAGTCGTTGGAGTGGGAATCGACTTGTGGCGATCTAAGAAGCAGAATCAGCGGTTGTAATTTTCTTGAGGCGATTAGAGAGGCAGCATGCAGCGGTGGATCGGTTCAGCGGCGACGGCGGGCAGGCAGGCAATGTGCATAGTGTTTGAAATCTATTCGGTCTCGGCGAGATCGTAAGTGATTGAGAAACGCATAGCAGGGAAGCCAAGCGGGCCCAGCGCAAGCAGATTGGAGGCCCATCCGGAGAGCTGAGCTGAGCGCAAGCCGCACGCGTGGGTGCGTGCAGACGTGAGTGTTGTTTTGGACCAAAAGAAGAGGACCGAGTCCTTGTATATGGCGCAGAGGCAGATTGATTCGAGCGAACAAAAGATCCATCAGCGATACATCATCTGAATTAGCGGAGGCTTTTGCAATGCATGCATCGGGTTGTGCGCGTGGCAGCAGGCAAAATAGCGACACAGCAGTTCATAGGATCTGGCTAAGCACGAAGGAGTACAGGACCTCCCGTGAGTGGTTCAATCAAATTTTCAATATAGTATTTTACTACTTGCACACGAGAGGGGTATGGAGGCCTTGGGCTTTGCTAGACGTGCGCAGGACGTCGCATCTGGAAGCAGCTTGGTTGATTTTTCATAGGGTCAGCCGTATAAAGAACCATGGTGCCAATGGGTACTAGGTTTGAGGTGCAGAAGTTCAATGAAACTGGAAACCTTGAGTTATGGCAGACAAGGGTGAAATATTTGTTGGCACAATAGAGATGCTTGAAGGCGTTGTGGAAAGTCATGTCAGCTATGATGGAATTATCATGTGGTGGATGGAAATTCGTGGAAGACGATTTGAGAGCCTTGAGTGTGTCATATAGTTGAATATGTTTGGCTGGGTCAGACTAGTCAGTCTGACGGATCGACGCAAATCGGTTGGTACAGAAGACGGTGCAGGATCGGCGACGGCTTCATAGGAGCGTGATGCCAATGGTGACCGACTTCTGGGGCGTGGAAACACGAGGCGCAGGTCAGAGGACTTGTGTGGCTTCGACAAGACTATGGCGCAGGGTTGATTCAAGGTGATGCACA